ACAGCCGGGTGCAGAGCCAGAGAACTGGTGATGGGAAGGGGAACGGTGACCCAAGCAGGGGTCTGTGCATGAGAGCATGCAGTGAGAGTGAGGATACTCAGGCATTAAAAATATACACCCTGGGCAAAAGACGTGGGTTTCCCCTGAATAACCTGTGTCCCCTAAGCTCAAGAATGGCAGCTGAGTTGGGGACCACAGAACAAATACCAATTTTGGCCTCAGACGAGCCAATCTCCTGAGGGGTTGCAGGGCAGGGATGGGTGGAGGTGGGAGAGGACCTCAAAAGGCACTATTGTTAATCAAGCCTTGCTTCTGCTTCCAGGAAGAGGACACAGGGTGACCCCTAAGGTGTGCCTTTAAGGTTGCCCAGGATCTGGCAGGAGCTGAGAGCAGGATTCCTACCACGAGGCACTGTGGGTGCTGGTTCACCTTGGAGTGTAGCAACGTGTGCTGTCGGCCCTGTGGCTAGGAGGGAACTGTCATCCCGCCAGCCAGCCAGAAGCAGCCTCGCTGCTTTCTAAGACAAAACAGTAGCGTGAAGTGCAAGTTCAGCACATCCGGGTGTCCCTGAGAGTCTGGGCAGGCCACAGGCAAGTCGTCAGCTGCACCTTCAAGGCCACCGGCTGCTGAGGAAGGTGCCCAGAGGGCCTGCTCCTGCCAGGCCAAGGATACCACAACCTCGTGTGCAGTGACCTGGATGACGATCTCAGTCTGCTAGGGGATAACACAGCGGAGGATGAGGGAGGGGCTCCTTGAGGAAAGGTTCTGAAGGAGGCACCAGGCCAGTGGGGGTGAGGGGTGGGTGCTGACCAAAGCTGACTCACAGCTGGGCCCAAGTGTGTGTGCAGGAATGAGCACTGGGTATATGATCCCCAGACCTTAGGTTAGGGAACCACAGGATGCATGGCTCAGATTTCTAAGTTAGCTAGGGGGTACAGGAGCAGGCAGAGTGCCACCCTGATTTACTGACCTTTACAGGGTAGGGGTGCAGTACTTCACTTTCAGCTTTGAGGTCCTTTGGGAGAAATGAGGTCCAACTTCCCACCACCTGCAGGAGAGACAGTGTTCCTTCCCTGGCAGTGTTTCCGATCCTAGAAAGCGGGTGTGTTGGGAGGAAGGGCTGGGAAACAAAGAGACCCTCCCACAGAACAATGACAGGTTCTCTAGTGTCACCTTGGGCCCAGTTGGTGGAACTGATGAAACCAGGCATGGACTTTGGAGGAGGACATCTCTGGTTCTGGACCCGAGTCACCAAGAAGCCAGAGACCTAGAAGCAGATATGCGGATACATCTGGACTTGCAGGCCCTTCAGAGAGGCTCAGGGAAGGGGGCTAACCATTGGGCGTTCGTTCGCCCTTTCCCTGGGATCCAGCTCCACACATTCATTTATCCTCTCAGTCCGTGTATCTGTGGCCTTGCTGGGCTGCCATTCCACCTAGCCACTGCCTGGCAGCCTTTACAAGGCCTGGAGAAGTCCTCTCCCAGGCACAAACCACGACGCTGCATGCTGCCTGGCATAGTTTCCCCTTTAATTCGCACACAATCGTGCAGTCGGGGACTTTAGACTGTGACTTTCTTCCGTGGAATTATCCTTTAGACTTACCTGGCAACAGCTGCTCTGGCCTGCTGCACCCGCACCTGTCCAGGCCAGCCATTTCTTCTGTCCTCGGGCTCACTCTGAGGCTATTCAAAAGGCTGCCGTCCCCGAATCCCTTCCCACCATGCTCTGGGAAGTCTCTTTCCTAGGGAGCCAGGGCACCTGCTCAGAAATGGCAACAGCCCTTCCTTGGCAAGCTCTGCCCAGCTTGCAAAGGCTGTGGGTTTGGCCAGGTCGCTGTGCTGGGCCCGAGGAAGGGAGCTGCTGGGACTGGCTCAGATACCGTGCCCCTGGAGCCAGGACTCAACAGCTGCCCTGCCAGTCCTGGAGGGTATCCGGGGCTGTTCTGCCGATGCCCAGCCACCTGCCAGGTCCGCCTTTGTCTCGTCCTTCTGCAATCTGGGCTCAGGCCTCTATTGCAGCATGGGGCTGCCCTTGAGGTTCTGGCCAGGTGCCAGGCACTAAGGCCAGGCCTGCTCTGCCCTTTGGGATGCCAACACCTCCAGAACGGAGTCAGCCACAGCTGTGAGATAAGGCAAATCAACATGCCATGGGCTACAAGAGATGCCAAGGCAGGGGCCCATCCAACCTGGGGCCACAAAGGCTTCCAGGGAGGGCCAGCCTCAACACTGTGATTCCCCAAATTCACCAGCCTCCACCCAGCTCTGCAGTCCGATTGGGAGGAAGAAATGGGTGTGGTGGGAGCTCATGCTACTGTTGGCCTCCGGGACACATCAGTCTCCAGGTTTTTCTGGGTCACTGTAAGCAGTTGGGTTCACTGTTGTTATAGACAAAAATCCAAATAGCATCGTAGTTAGGGTTTCTATTGCTGCATTGAAGGCACCATGACCAAAAGGCAAGCTGGGGAAGAAAGAGTGTTTTTGGCTCACACTTTATGTTACTGTTCATCTTTGAAGGAAGTCAGGGCAGGAACTCAAAACAGGGCAGGGATCTGGAGTCAGGAGCTGATGCAGAGGCCGTGGAGGGTGCTGCCTACTGACTTCTAATTCGGCTTTCTAAGCCAACTTTCTTATAGAACCCGAGACCACCAGCCCAGGGACAGAAACACCACAATGGGCTGGGCCCTCCACCATTGATCACTAATTAAGAAAATGCCCTACAGCTGGATCTTAGGAAGGCATTCTCTCAGTTGGGTTTCCCTCCTTTTCAGATAACTCTAGTTTGTCAAGTTGACACGGACTAGCCAGCACAACCACTGAGGCTGACTTCCTGAACTCATGCACCAGAATTATTATTTTGGGTATCCCAGGCTGGCCTTGAACTCACCGAGATCCTTGGTCTCCTGAGTGGCTGGGATTACAGCCTATGCACCATGCCCCGGTCTGGAGCCGTTTTCCTGACTTAACAGTCGACTTTAATGAAGGTTCTGAGACACAGAAGACCAAGGCACGAGACATCCACACCTTACCTCAGGCACTGAGGAGTTCAGTGTTGTAGGAGCTGGGAGGTGGCTGAGTAAGTGAGTGGCGTGTCAAGTGTGAGGACTAGTCTCCAAACCCGCAGTTTTTAAAGAGCCAGCCATGGTAATGGATGCTTGCAGTCCCAGGGCTGGGAAGGCAGAGGTGGAAGGAGCTCTGGAGTTTGCTGGCAAACCAAGCCCCAGCTTGGAAAACTTGTTTCAAAACCAAGGTGGCAGGCTCCTGAGGACCAGTATCCATGTCAGGTTAGGAGACAGCTTAGTGAACACCGGTTTGCCATCCCTGAGCTCAGACTGGCAGTTTTCCCCGGAAGAAAAGCCTGTGGTCCACTCAGACTTGGTGCCAGCTGTATCCTTGAGGGAACTTCCATCAGTACAGGAGGTTGAACTTGGTCTCACACATAGTAGGCAGGCATCTACCTCCCAATTGTTACGCCCCTAGCCTCTTTTTCTTCCTTCCTTTTTTTTTTTCCTCTGAGACAGGGTTTCACTTTCGGCTGTCCTAGAACTGGCTCTGTAGATCAGGCTGGCCTCAAATTCAGAGATCAGCCTTCCTGGTGCTGGGATTAAAGGCATGCACCATCACTAGATATCCCTAGCCTTTTTTCCTACATTAATAAAAAGTTTTATGTTTATTTATGTAGTTTGTATGTGTGTAGGTGCGCGTGTGTCATGGCGCCCATGTGAAGCTCAGTACCTGGGCTCCCAGGATTGGAGTAGGGTCATCAGGCTTCATGGCAAGCACCTTATCACTCTACCACTTCAGATTTCTTCCCTTTGGTGGGGGAGCGGGGAGAGATAAGTCTCATTAGAGTGACTCAGGCTGGTCTTGACCTTGAAATCCTCTTGCCTCGGCCTTCACAATAGCTAGGAATTATAGGCCTTTGACACTAGACTGAGGGTTAGTTTCTTTTTTAAGATGTATTTTGTGTGTTGGGAGATGGTGATAATATACCTTTAATCTCAGTATTTGGGGAGGAAGCAGAGGCACGTGAATCTCTGTGAATTCAAGGCCACCCTGGTCTACAAAGTGAGTGAGAGCCAGGGCTACACAGAGAAACCCCATCAAGAAAAAAGAAAAAAAAAGATTTTTTTAAAAATATATATATGTGAGTGCATACATGTATGTATGAATGCACACCTGCACATGCTTGGTGCCCAGGAGGTCAGATCCCCTGAAAATGGAGTTATAGGCAGTTGTGAGCTACCACGTGGGTGCTGGGAAGACAGCACAGGTCTCTGCAAGAGCAGCTGCTCCCGCTGCTGCGCCCTCGCTCCAGCCCCACGCTGCTGCATTTCTAGTAGCTTCATGCAGTCTGCAGGCAGAGGCCTGTAACCCCAGATACTTAGGAACCTGAGGCAGGAGGGCTGAAATTCTGGCCCTCCTTCTCCATCTTCCTATGTGCTGGGATTACAGGCAGACACCATACCTGGACTGCAGGCAGGCACCACATCTGGTCTCACGTGGTACCTAGGATTGAGCCCTAGACACTGGGCATTCTAGGCAAGCACTCTACCAACTCTGCTGCATCTTTAGCTCCCACAGCTCCTAATTCTGCTCTTCTTGCTGGATTTTCAGCTAGGTTGGCCAGCAAGTCCCAGTAATCCTCGTCTCCATCCAACCGCAATACTGAGGCTACAGACATGAGCGGTCGATCTATAGACATGAGCAGTCGATCTACAGACATGAGCTGCCATACCCAGCTTTGATCTGAACTCGGGTCCCCATCCCACGCGGTTAATGCTCTTCTCCACTGGGCTGTCTCCCCAGCCTCCATATGTTCTACCAATTATTGCAGATGGGGAGGAGTGATAACCTGTACTTCAGTGTGAAAAGACTGAAAACAAGAACAAGAGGGCTGGGGATGTGGTAGAGCACCAGCCTAGCACGGGTGGGGTCCTAAGCTCCATCCTCCATTAAAAAAATCAAAGAAAGTAGGAAGAAAGAAGCATCCAGGACAAAGGTCTGGTGTCTTCATCTCGCTTTAATACAGAATCCTTTTACATGGCCGCAACACAACTCAAGAGCAGGAGTAAGAAACGTGAGCAACAGACCTCAAGAACTAAGAACACCACTGCTGCGGACGGCTGGTAACTTTACACAGGTATGTGTTAGCAGTTCCCAAGTGTGTAGTGTCGTCAAATTTTAGGATTCCCAGAGGATTATCAAAGCAGGGATGACTGGGAATGTTCCCTGCAGATGGAGGTCTCCGGTGCAGTGGCAATGGCCCTCAGTGCCGTGCGCTGGAACCTGGGATCGGGGTGCTGGCCTCATCTCCAGACTTAATGATTCCACAGAAAACGCAACTCTCCTAAGTTTTTTATTTTTCGAGACAGGGTTTCTCTGTGTAGTCCTGCCTGTCCTGGAACTTGCTCTGTAGACCAGGCTGGCCTCTAACTCACAGAGATTCACCTGCTTCTGCCTCCCAAGTGCTGGGATTAAAGACATGTGCCACCACTGCCTGACTCTAACAAGCTTCTTAGCCGGGGAAAGCCACCATATAAATCTCCCTGGGGCAGAGGTGACAAAACTCTAGTCCCAGGGATCTGGCTCACTCTTACCATGCAGTGGGGAAGAACGACCTAGAAGCCACCAGGTAAAGTTCTGATCCTGACCCCATACATCCTATTTCAAAGTAAAATTCAGTAAAGCTATTTATCCTTGGAAAAATACATAAGGGTTTATTCCCTACGATTTTTGTCACTTACAAATTCTAGTTCTGAATTATACCAATCTCTGATTAAAATGAGCCGGGGAAGCTACTTCCACTTATAAAACTCAAATCTACCTCATCTACAGCGCGGTTCCTTTGTCCTTTTCCTAGATGGCCCTCATACGTGCTAGCATGGTTCAATTAGAAAAAGGTCAGAGGGAGCTGAAAACACTTGCCAAAGCTAGGGTGTGACTCAGTGGTACTCAGTGTGCTGCATCTGTGAGGTCCCGGGTTCAATCTCGAGCCATGCCAACAGCAAAAACGGAAAAAAGCAGAACAAAAAATTTAAAAAAAGCAACTCCAAAGGCTCATCAGTGGGTGGCTGGCGGCCCTCACCCCAGACAGCCAGGGTACAGACACTCTGCTCTCCCCAGAATAAAGACACCTGCTTCTCCCGGGACAGACCTCGGCTTCAGGGTCACACTTGCTGTTCGCAGATCGATTCCAGCTGAACTGCGTTCCACTGAGCTGGAATGAAAAGCCTGATCTTGGTCCCACCCAGGGCTCATGGAAGCTCAGATGGAGCAGGGATTGGCTTCCGTCAAGGCAGGGGGGCAGGGCCCGGATATCTGGTCAGCAAACAATGAAGCTGGGTGGTCTATTTCTAACAGCCCCTCAGGACTAAGTGGCCTTTCCGTAGATAATTCATAACCATAGAAAACAAACTGTAAAATGCACTTTCTCATAAAGCTCTGGCTGCAGTTAGCCAACCAGGTCCATGAAATGTTCGCGCGAAAGCCCAGCAGTGGGGCAGGCGCTGCCTGAGCAGCTAGAACGCACAGCTAGGAGAGAGCATTTCTGGATTAAGGTCAGAAGAAAAATAGCACCAACATGTTAGCTGACAGCAGGGACTCGGGAGCTACATGCGCGCGCGCGCGCGCGCGCGCACACACACACGCACACACGCACAAGCTCTTTTCCTCCTTTCTCACCCTGCCCTGACAGCTGACATGACAGAGGCTGTAGCATATGGCAAACCTTCAAATGCAGCCAGTCAGCAGCCACCTGAACGAAAGGGCACCATGCAGTTCCCAGAGCTTCCGTGTTTGTCCCAAGGCAAAACACAGCAGGGTGAGGAGTTAGCGAAGCCTGAGTCCCGCTACCACGGCCAGCGTCGAGTGCGTGACTTGCACTAAGAGTAGCCCACAGTGCTACTTTTCCGATGGCCCTTGCCCCTCGTCTCAGTGGCAGTGACGACAATGACGGCAAAGGTGGCTCTTTCGCGGCTTCATCCCCGTCCTGTCACAGCCCTGCTGCCCAGGTCCCAGGAGCTGTTTCACTCCAAACTCATGCTTTTCTGGATTCAAAACCAGACAGCAAAGCAGCCCAGTGAGCTTTAATAAGAAACGGGTGGCAGTGGCATCCATGCTTATATACAACAGGCCAATGTCGTCCTTTTTTTTCCTTTAAAAAAATGTACATCTATATATTTGTGCATGTGTGCATGCACACACCCACGATACAGCATGAATGCAGAGGTCAGAGGACAACCTGTGGGAGTGAGGTCTCGTCTTCCGCCAGGTGGGTTCTGGGGAGCACAGGCAGGTCACCTGGCTTGGCAGGAGGTGCCTTTCCCAGTTCACCAGGCCACCTGCGGCACTCTCAAGAGTGAGATGGTTTTCAGGGAAGATCCTCTGGCTGGGTCTCCAGTGGCCTGGTAAGTTCTCTTGTTGGGGAGTCTTCCCTTCAGGGGTGGGCAGTGATGGAGAGCTAATACACTTGGGAATTCTTTTTTACTTTTATTTACTTGTTTGTTTTTAGAGATAGGGTTTCTGCATAGCTTTGGAGTCTGTCCTGGAACTTGCTCTGTAGACCAGGCTGGCCTCGAACTCACAGACATCAGCCTGCCTCTATCTCTCGAGTGCTGGGACTAAGCATGCTCCATCACCGCCGGGCACACTTGGGAATTCTGATGCTGCCTTCTCTCTACTTTTAATGGACAAAGTGCACTTTTAAAAATAAACAAAAATCCATCGTTCCTGCAAATCTGGGAGGGGAGGCTGTGCAGTGAGAGAGAGGGGGAGGAAATGGCAGGTGCTGCACCCCATTTTATAACCTGCTTTCCAGATCCTCCATTTCTGCTTTGTTCACAAATTCACTTTGCACACAAGGCAAAGCCAACCTGCACCAAGTCCACAGAGGTGAACTCATTCCTCCCGTGAGCTTTGGGTCTGCAGGCGCTAAGAATGCCCCTCTGGTCTCACTCTGTGGGCAGAGAAATTACCAGAAGAAAAACCTTGGCTGCAGCACCTTTCCTTACAGAAGGTAAAACCCTCGACAGAGACAGACGCCCGCTGGAGTCGGACTGGGTTTCTCTTCCCAGCCCTTACTCGCACGAGGTGAGAAGGCAGGGGAGTTGCCAAGTTGTTGGCTACCAGACCCACCAGTCTGTTTAACTCTGGCTAAAAGCAGGGAATAATGGGCAAGTTACCAAACTTCCTGCTTCAGCTCTAGTGTGAATTCGGAACTGAAGGAAAATACAGCCTGCGTGCTCAGGCATACGTGACAGTTCCCTGTGCTCGCAGCCCAGGGCATGCCCAGCACTGTGACTTCCCAGCCCAAACAAAGACAAGACCCCAAGTGTGTGGGCAGACTCTGGCAGATGCTCTCCATGGACCATCCTCCACCTCACTCCAATCAGCTAAGTGAAGTGCTCTTCCAGTAAACACGCTGAGATCTCTCTGCTACCCAGCGTCTTCTGCCAGTTCCTTAACCATGATGGATGTGAGACCAAGTGCAGAAGGCTGGGATGAGGGGCATCTGCAGAAGACACTCCTGGGCAGTGTGGGGTACCCTGCTGCCCACCCCTTCCCTGTTCTAGGATGCACGGTGGAAGAACCCCTTCAGCTCTCCGGAGCACTAAAGAAGAAAGCTATGTCCTTTTTCTCTTTGCCACAATTTTAAAGGAGCCCTGGCTCTGAAGTGACAACAGGATGGTCTTGGACTAGGCCAGCTGCTGTGGGAGTATGTGGCCAAGAAGGAACCCCTGCGTATGAAGTTGGCTTTCTCTCTGCATACTCCTCACTCAGCTTCAAGTCTACAACACTGTGCAGCAGATAAATCAATGAGGTCCACATACCAATTCAAAACAGATCCAATAAAACTAAGCCCAGAGTAACAAAACCTCATCCCTGAACTGATGGGAGAATCCTACTAAAGCAGCAGGCATTTCTGAATGGGTCTGAAGGACATTCTTCTAGTAGCAGAAGAACATGGCTTTAAACAGGGAAATTTTAATACTCTGACTGCTCACGGCTTTGTAATGTGGAGTGTGGGTTACAGCACTCAGACAAGGCCCACATTGACTTTTAACAAAAGGCTTCTATATTTTAATGCAAATCTAAGGACTATCCATGGTCTAAGTTCACAGAAGACTATTCAAACCTTAAGATTCCATGAAACATAAATAACACAGAACCCTACATTGGAGCCCTTTGTAATATTCACATTTCCCCAATCTGACAAGAAATAACATCTCTGTATCCAGCACCAGAGCTGGATGTAAACGTGGTGCGGACAATCCTTTTGGTTTTACAAATCTTCTTTAGCTTCCACCAACAGGTAGATTTCCTTACCTATCATGATCCTAAACCAGATAAAATATCCTTCTTTTAAAAACTGTTACAAATATTTATTTAAAAGTGCAATTTAAAAGTTAGCTGGGCAAGCACATCATTGGGAATAACAAAACAAAAAAGGGATCCAAAAATCAAAAATCCCAAGGAATATGAACGACCCAGGATTTTTTTTTTAAAGTTGGCGTGCTAAGGAATGCACAGAAAGGCAAAGCAAGGGAGGTCAAAGGTCAAACTGTCCAGATGCCGCTCTTTCCAGCACAGAAGATGACTGAGGGGCAGCCTCCTTGTGAAGGGTAGGCTCAGGGTCTGACAGCGACTTTAATACCAGGTTAATGCATCAGGGACGGTATGAAAATCCTCCATATATGTGCACATTGGAGCATCAAAACAGTCGCCCGAAGCCTGAAGTTTAGTGTCAGCAGCTCTCACAACTTCAACCCAATAAACGGTCTGTCACAATGGAGTCAAAGTGTCACTCAGAGAACAAAGTATCAGGTTCCCTCACCCACCCAAGCTATTACAGAGTAAGGGGCATCTGACCCACAACCAGCCTTTCAGTGTCAGGACAGTTTCTGCATAAATGTAATAAATGCCTGACCCCTCCCCCTCACTCTGAGTGCCTTGCTATCAGAATAAAGGCACCTGGGCAGAAGGCGAGTCTCACCCACCCAGTGCCGCTATGCTGTTCAAGGCTGTGCGCAGGGGTGCTCTAACGTGCAGCTGCATCTCTGGGACCGGCGGCGGGTCTGGCCGGCCTCTGGAGCTACTGCCAGCCCTTCATAAAGCTGGACCAACACAGGGGCTGCTGCTCTCAGCTGCTCCTGTCCATTAAAGCCATTTGTCCTCAGCACCTCCAAACCCCCAGGGACTTCACTATTTCCTGTGCTCAGCCCTGCCACAAACACACCTGGAAAAGCAATTTAACCTCAGCCCTCACCCAGCAAAGTGAAACACTGCAGTTCTGTCATGAACGGTTTCTGAGCCTCTGTCCTCACCAACAGCCAGCTCTCAGGGGCTAATCCAACAGCTGTGGGAAACGTCATCCCCAAATGCCCCATTCTTGCCAGGTTTCTTTTGAAGGGACGGCGGCACCCATCTAAGCAGGGCAAGGGTCTGAGCAGAGGGAAGGGGCTGCCAGAGACCAGAAAAATAAGCAATAAATGGGGCTGTTACTTCTTTTGATGATTCTGAGTCTTCCTCGAGGAGCGAGGTCCAGTAAGGCAAAGCAGTGGCTAGTTGTCCTCAGAAAGAATGGGCAGCTGGGGCTTCTGCTATCCAGCCGGGAGTGTGGTCACCTCTTTCCTCTTCCAGCCTTGCCCTTCCAGTGCTGGGAGAGAGGGCTGTCTCAGTGGTGGAGTCACAGAGGAAGCAGGGCAGAGGCCAGTCTCTGGGAGAGGAATGTAAGTGGCGGAGTGCTTGCTTCTCCTCTCCCCTAGGTCCAGTGCAGGAGGGCCTGAGGAGGGCCGATGACATCACAGCACCAGGAAGAGGACCAGCACGACCAACAGGACTGCGAAGAGGATGGCTATGGCACACCACTGGCGCCGATCTGGAAGGCAGGACACAGAGGTGACCTCCCGGGATTAGGCACTCCCTCCCTGAGACACAGGTACCCAAACATCTCGGGAGCAGAGGAGGAACAGAGAAGATCCTGCCCCCGCCCAGGCACCAGCACCCCCATGCTGTTCTGCCTGCAGGCACATCTACAACCCTGCCAGTGCAGGCTGAGTCCCTGCCGTTAGCTGGAGGCCGTCATACACCAGTGAAAAGGTGGCCGGCACTTGGTGACAGCCTGCTTTAATCTCCCACCGAAGGACTATAATTCAGCAGTGCACAGGCTCGTCTCTTAGTGAGTACCGTGAGAGAATGGAAAGAGATGAAAGTCACTGCTGGTCATCCAGGAAACGGACAGCCAGGAAAGCACTCCCGTGACAGAGAGTGATTAATTCCATATCACACCTGTAGTCAGGTAAGATCACTTATACAGTGTATCTGTGACTGGAAGCCAATGTCTTCCGAGAGGCTAGACTTCCTCTGTGTGGATGAGAGCATGAAGCCCTCTCCAGACAGAACAGATAGGCCCAGGGACGCTTGCTGCAGCCCACAATCCTGGCAGTCTATATGACAGCTGCCCACAGGGGGTGTGAGGGTTAAATAACAGTGGAGGCACGCGCTTGCTGGGGCTATCATTTTCAGGTGTGTTACCTTTGTTTATGCTGCTTTTGTTTAACTCTGTGAAGCTGTGATTCTTTGCCTGTCTAAACACCTGATGGTCGAATAAAGAGCTGAGTGGCCAATAGCAAGGATAGGCGGGGCTGGCAGGAAGAGAGAATAAATAGGAGAAAATTGGGAGAAGGGGTTCTGGAGAAGTAGCTAGAGAAGGAAGAAGACATCAGGGTCCAGCTATCCAGCTACACAGCAATCCAGAGTAAGAGTAAAATTTACAGAAGAGAATGGGAAAAACACAGAGCCCAAAGGGTAGGTGGGGTAATATAAATTAAGAAAAGTGAGCAAGAAATAAGCCAAGCTAAGGCCGGATATCATAAATAAAAATAAAACTCCGTGTGTGATTCATTTGGGAGCTGGGTGGCGGGCCCCCCAAGAGTCCAAAGAGCATAACATCATATTACAACAGACGCTGTGCTGGGCCCAAGCTTGAGACACCGAGACACCATCATCATTAGGACACGTAAGTAACTTATAGAGGTGTAGACCAAGAAAGTGGCATTTCCACTGGCAAGTCCTAGTGTCCTCCACAAAGGACCGGGAAGACACAAAAGAATGTCACTAAGGAGCTAGGCATGCTGGGTATGTCTGTTAAGTCAGCAACAGGAAGGCAGGTGAACTGGCAGTCAGTACGGGCTGCACAAGTACTAAATCAGCCAGAGCTGTACAAATTCTGTTAACAAACAAAGGGCAAAGAACAATGGCGGGGGTGGGGGGGGTGGGGGTGATGATGTATGAGGGTCTTCTGTTTTGTGTTGATTTCATTGGTTAAATAAAGAAACTGCCTTGGCTCTTTGATAGGACAGAAAATTAGGTAGGCGGAGTAGACAGAACAGGATGCTGGGTAGAAGGCAGTGTGGCAGACGCCATGGCTCTCCAACCCGAGATGGACATAGGTTAGAATCTTCCTGGTAAGCCACAACATTATGGTAAACACAGATTAATAGAAATGGGTTAATCAAGATGTGAGAGTTAGCCAGTAAGAGGCTAGAACTAATGGGCCTGGCAGTGTTTAAATGAATACAATTTGTGTGTTGTTATTTTGGGGTATAAGCTAGCTAGCCAGGCAGCTGGGAGCTGGGCTGCAGGAAGCAGCCTGCCACTCCTTTTACTACAGGGTGACTGAGCATGTGAATGTCTACGGGACTGGCATGAGGGCCTGAGTGCCAACACCCTGAACCCAGATAAAAATAAAAAATAAAGCAGGCATCATGCATCTGAAGCCCAGGGTTGGTGGGTAGCAGAGGCAGGTGGGTCCCTGGGACTATGCTGGCCAGTAGAGCAGAAATTACAAGTGTTAGGCCTCAAAAAGTAAAAACAATAAAGGAAAGGGATAGAGGAAGTCATCCAAGGTTAACCGGTAACCTCCACATACACAATGTCACAGTCTATGCAATGCAGCTAAGCCATAGGACTAACAACTCCATTGAAACAGAAGTACGGCCAAGTGGTGGTGGCGCATACCTTTAACCCCAGTACTCAGGAGGTAGAGGCAGGAGAATCTCTCTGAGTTTAAGGCTAGCCTTGTCTGCAGAGCAAGTTCTATGACAGCCAAAGCTACACAGAGAAATCCAGTCTCAAAAAAACAAAAAAACAAACAAACAAAAAAAAAACAAAGAAAAAGTATAAAGATGATAAAGATGTAGAGGTTATTAAAGTCTACTGAAGAGTCTATATATTTCAGTACACAACTTTGGTGATCATATTGTAGGAATGCCCTGAATTCAGAGAAAAATAGATAGCAAAACGTGCATGAATATCAACATCTTAGAACTCTTCAGTGGTCAAAAGATGTGAATGCCAACAAGCATAGCAAATCCCTTTTCCTGGACCAACACCCTTGTCTACCCCAGACCTACCAGAAACTCACTGAGCAACTAAGATCTCAAGTCTGTCTGCTCTGAAGAGAGAACTGAAGCAGACTGAGAGGCGCGAGAGGCAAAGCCGGCCTATCAAAGGAGCCAGGGTGTGGAAAGCGCTCTCCAGCTTACTCTTGTCTCTTTAAAGACACTGGACTCTAGTTTCCAGTCCAGCGTGGAGGATCGTTCCTTATCGCTCCTTCTAACAAGAACAGGGTGACCACAGTGACAAAAACAGCTCTTCTTCTTAGATCTTCCAGGAGTAAAGTCACAGGGTGGGCTGCTGCCCCTAACAGAAAATCTAGAAATGGTTGGACTCACATAGCAGAGCGGAGACCCTCCCCCACCTTAATCCCAACAGTGACCAACCAGAACCAGTGTGGAGCTGGGAACTATGAGCTGTAACTGACCAGCTGCAGGGAAGTCCATGTGGTCACGTCTAAGATTTCGCCAGTTAAAGGGAGACCCAACACTGGTGAGCTTTACTTCCAGAAGTTCAACCAAACTGTCATCGAGTGTGAGAGAAATGGGAACATGGAAGGTGCTGGATATGCCATTTTCCTCACCTGATCACTACTGAACATATACACAGATCAAAACTCCACTCTGCAGCTCATAAAGACATGCAAACATTATGTACTAGTTCCAAAAATTAAATTTTGGAATTTTTAGAGAAACAAGGCTCTTCTGTATGACAAGATGACAGATACATATATTTTTGTCTAAACTCATACAATGGGTCTGATGTGGTGGCGCACACCTTTAATCCCAACACTGGGAGGCAGAGACAGGCAGATCTCTGTGAACTGGAGGCCAACCTGGTCTACAGAATGAGTTCCAAGCCAGTCAGGGTTGCACAGTGACACCTTGCCTCAAAACAAACAGAAGGAGAAGGAGGAAGCAGCATCAGGCCAAGTGTGATGGCACTTGGAAGGCAGAGGCAGGTGGATCTCTGTAAGTTCCAGGACAGCCAGGGCTATGTAGAGAGACCCCTGACTCAAAAAGCAAACAAAAAGAAGAGGATGAGGAAGAAGAAAGCTTATTACTATAAGAATGCAATAATAAGTCACTTTTATTAAAAACAACTGACACTTTCCAGGGCAAGCCAGAGAAGATAACTGCTTCCTCCTTCCTCTCCCACAACCTCACACATACTTCCTGCCCCTCCCCCTCCAGCATCCCACCACTCTAAGAACCAGATTTCCTAAACCCACTCGGCCTTTGGCAGTCCAAATTCTGTATTCCCCAACAGCTTTCTCTTGAGCATCTTGGTAAGAGCACAGGGATGCTAAGCAAGCAGACACACAGCCCTGGCCTGCACTCTCAAGGCCACTTTCCTCTGAAGTGGCAAGTTGTTCCTATGAGGCACGAGCTAGGCAACCCTAGGGAGCTATTACCCTAGCAGACTGAGCTCTTCCTGTGTGGCTTCAAGCACACCAGGAATGTCCTAACTGCGGTACCAGGCTTGTAACTCAGGCTAAGCCCGAGCTCCACCTACAGCACAGAGTGCTTCAGCTGAGCAGAAAGAACAAAGGCAACTCCAATGGTAGTTTCTTTCTCAAAATATTTCCTGTCTTCAAGAGAAAAGAATCACAGACTGTTGATGGGGGAGGGGATCTTGGCTTTATTCAAAAGAGTATTTCTCTGGGTAAGAGAAAGGCAAATTAGTGTCTCTCTTGGGTCATTTACAAAAGCAAGTGTGGAGTCTCCCGTGAAGCAGTCAGCCAAGAATGGATGGGAGGGCCTGGCTCTAAGGAGCTGCTCATGTGTGCTCAGGCCTGCTCCACCAAACTCTGGTGTTTTCAGACTGTCCTGACACACAGGTTTGAGAAAACAATGAACACAAACACACTGAAGCAGACATCCTAACAGTATTTCTTGGGGAGCAAAAATTAAGACGAAGGGTCTTCCACGCTAACTGCTCTGTTACCTGGCTCTTTTCTGTATACAATTATAACCAAATATCTCATGTTGTTTCCCAAACCTTCCTTTCTGAAAAAAGTAGAATAAAGCATAAGAAAGTCTTGGTGTTACAAACACATTGCCAGGACTTTTCTAAACTACTCACACCCAGAATGCTAGAAAACAAGACACAGGTCACCTTTGCTCACCCACTCTTCCCTGACAGAGGCGATGCTGAAGTACCTACTTGACAGGAGAGCTACCACACAGACCAGCAAGAGGCCTGGTGTTTAAACTGGTTATGTAATACTTCCTCAAGACAACTCTTTTTTTTTTTTTTTTTTAAATACAAGGGTACTGAGTAGCTGACAGTGGGTAAAGTGTCTGCTGGGTAAGCATGGCAGTTTGAGTTTGGATCCCCACAGCCATGTAAAACCCCATACAGCGGCATGTGCCTATAACCCCAGTGTTGGGGGAGGGAAGGGCAAGGGGCAGACACAGGTGTATCAGGGGCTCACACTGATCAGCCAGCCTAGCCAAAATGGTGAGGTTCAGGTTAATGAGTAAGGCTGAGAGGCTGGCAAGAGGGCTGAGTAGGGAAAGGTGCTTGCTCCCAAGACCGACAGCCTGAGTTAGATCTCTAGAACTACATGGTGGGAGGAAGCGACTTCCTCAAGCTGTCTTTTGACCTACACATGCATGTGCAAACACAGTAAATAAACAGTAAAATTAAAATGACCTCCTGTCTCCACACATGCACACAGCTGCAGAAACACGTGTACACACATGTAAGCCACATGCACAAACATAAAATTTAAAAACAAATACATAAATAAAGTAGAGGACTATATAGGTAGAAGAGAGAAAGAGGGAACCAGAAAATAAATTTCAGACCCTTCTCTAATCATGGGGAAGAGACATTGAGCTGGTGCCTGCTTCCTGTATGTGCACAACTTCAAGCAAAGAACCTGCTTGAAGCAGAAAGACATTTAGCCTAGACAGAAAGGAGAAAACTCTAGATATGAGCTTCTTTTTTGTTTGGATTTGATGGTTCCTTGTCCTTTAGGGTCTTTTCTACCATCGTGTAAAGCATTTACGGAGCATGGATACCTTGTTAAATAACTGCTTTATTGCTTGTTCAATGCTCACCTTTCTGTGGTGCTCAGCATAGAACATGGGTCTCCCCCATGCCTGGTCACGCACTCAGTTGAGCTATACCTACAACACACTGAGCTATACCCACAAGCTCCAGACACTATTGTCTAAGTAGGTAGGATGCAAACTGCTGAAGTGTACACAGTGTACATTTGTATTTTAATTTTCCATGTCACATGTACCTGACAGTAGAAAATCAACAGAGGAATGAGGTGTCAGGAATGGGGGAAGAGTCTTTTAATGAAGGAGGCATCCTATGGCCCCCAAAGTATTCAAATTACCTGAAGAAATATCCCAGTTTTTCCTTTCATCAAGCAACCCCCTCCAGATAAAGAGGAGATACTGGGTATTGGTTTAAAATATATCCTGTCTGACAAGGAAGGCAATTTGTAGGAACCAAAAATAAAGGGAAAAAAAAGTAGTTATTAGAAAGCATCTTCAGACATAGAAACTGACCTGAAAGTTACTTCTCCATCCCCCGATCCCAGCACACATTTGCTAGGACATCACTTTCTAAGGCTAGCATAGCCTGAAGTAGTAGGTATTTTTCTAACAATGAGAGGAAGATAGTTCACAGAAGGGAGTAAGTGGTATATCAGTACTTCAAGTAAGTTCCCTAGGGTTAAATAAATGCCTGCTGTCATGCCTGACACACGCATGTGCTGTGGCAAGTATGCACACACACATATACATGCTAAAATAAAGACACCAAAAGAAAAAAATTGTTAAGTTCTCTAAAGTAACAAGAGAAATAAAAAGTAAAAAAAAAAAAAAAAAAGGATTTTATAATTGCAATGAAGTTTCTCCACGGGGAGAATAGTCAACAAGTGTTGGGCACAAGAGCCTTCTCCAAAGTCTGATCACGGGCAGAAGTTCTGGTCTCTGCACAGTAGCTTTCTCCTGTCTGATCCTAAAGTAGCACAGACAAATAGGCTGCAGCAGGAGAATGGCAGAGTTAGCAGGAATTCCCAAGAGTCACACATACATACCACTGGTCATGTGCGACACCTTTGCAAGTTTCTTCATCACATTGTCCAGTCGAGACTGAGTGTTCTCCAACTCATGAGAGAAGTCGTCCAGCATGCTGGAGAGGAGGAGGAGGGAGGAGGCGGTCAGCAGACCTTGTATTTGCTGTGGATTAAGTGAGGCCTGGGCCTCTGTCTCAATAAAGATAAAAAGGGGCCTCTGGGCCTAAGGACTGCATTGTATTACCCCAATCCTTGGGGCAACTTACATTTTTATAAATTTGGGAAATCTATGGTTTTTTTTTTTTGTTTTGTTTTTTGTTTTTAAGTTAAGTTACATATGCTATAGATTAGTCAAGACCCCTTAGTAGGGTCTGGCATAGTTCCCATAATCAAGCATGCTTGTATTTCTGCAGAAGCATGAGGAATCACAGCTACAGTCAATTCAGCTGAGGTTCCTCCATCACGAGTCTGCTTGAACACTTGGATTTGTAATTTCAGATTCGCAGATGAGGCAGTAGGGCACTGACTGTACACCACTGCCGGCTCAGGCACAGCGCCAGCAGAGAGGCAGCCTTTGTTTCCTGCTACCTTGAGCAAGGCACCCCATACAACTCTTTGAGACTCTTTAGTCATCTGTTAAATAGGACGATTCTACCAACCCAAATCCTGTTGAGGGGTGCCTGTGAGAATCTCATAACACACAAAAGCACTTTGTGTCAGTGAGTTAAGGAATGTACTTTAAATCAGTCGGATTCTTCTTTAGAGCACTCTGCCTTATTATAATATGTCAGGATACCTGACATCCCTGATGGTGGATGGGGTAGGGTGTGGATGGTGAGTGTGTGTGTGTGTGTGTGTGTGTGTGTGAGAGAGAGAGAGAGAGAGAGAGAGAGAGAGAGAGAGAGAGAGAGAGAGAGAGAGAGAGAGAGANGAGAGAGAGAGAGAGAGAGAGAGAGAGAGAGAGAGAGAGAGAGAGAGAGAGAGAAAGAGAGAGAGAGAGAGAGAGACCCCATCTCTTCACAAGTGGTGTTTCTCCAGGAACTGGAGACCAGCTCAGGAGGCCTCCACTATGGTGCCTCAGCACGCTGCTGGCAAACACAGCACTGAATACTGTACTTGTATTCTAGCAACCCTTATTTCATAAATTACTACACATTCCAGACTTTAACTTCTAACTAGAACATGATTAGTTTGCGGCTAAAATTAACACACCAATTAGTAGCAGGGCCTTCCTACAAAGACCTTATTTATTCTGACCATGCCACTGGCAGCTATAATCCACTGGTCTGGGTGCAGGCCCACAAAGGAGCATGACAGTCCCTCAGGACCTAGAGCCACCAAACCCTCATTAAGTTAACTATCAAACTCCACACTGACAACTAAGTAAATAAGTCTTTGTTCTATACCTGAGTTTTCAAATTAAAACATGTTTAGCTCATCTCAGAACCTGGCAGCACTGGACCTGGCTTGCTGGCATCTCCAGGCCAAGCACTGAAAAACAAGGGCTACTTGTGTGTGCTGGGTGTCACTTTTCTTACTAAAGCTGAAACAGGCATGTCACTCAGTCTTCAGCCAAGGACAGTCACAGCCCAAGTTCTGCCCGACAGAAAGACCACCCAGGTCACAAATGCTACTTTGCATTGTGGCAGCTGTGCTTTTAAAAAGGTTTTAAAAATTGAGCCAGGATCTCTCATGTGGTCCGGGCTGGCCTTAAACTTTCAAGGATGATCCTGAACTTGTGATTTCCCCGCTTCTACCCCCCCAAATGTATGACCTCCACGCTTGGCTAATGCACTGCTGGGGACTGCGTGCAGGGCCTCGTGCACGCTAGTCTAGCACTACACCAACTGAGCTACAGCCCCAGCCTCTGAAATTCATGTTTAACACTGCTTATCTAGACACTATATCCAAAACACCATTTTCACATGTAACATAAAGATTACTAATAAACTGCTCCGCCCCGTTACTTAAACTGTAGCATTCACTCTGCGCTCACAGCACATCTTAGCTCAGTCTGGCCACATTCCACACGCTCAGTAGCTGCAGGAGGCTGGTGGCTCGTCTCCCACACAGCATATAAATCAGCTCGAAACCCGTATTTCTTCCCTTTTACTGTTACCAGATACATGAACACCCAGTTTAAATAGGAAAACAATCCGACAGGGATTTTATGTTAAACTATAGCTCTCCTGTTTCCCACATGTTCGCATCACTTTGCTTCTTCAGGTACTTTCTCCACTTCTGAGGAGCATGCTTGTATGTTCTGCGGAGTTTTGTGCTCAGGCTTCATTTGATGGTGCAGCGCTATTAGATTAGGATTTGGCCCTCTGAATTCTCACCTCGGAATCCTTCCCACTTCTCCGATACAGCTGTATACAATTGGATTAGATTAATATTCAACATGAACCTGAAGTCAGCTGAGTGCAGGCTAGTCACAGCTGAGTGGTTTGTGGTGGGAATCACACTGCTTCTTGCTCACTCCCCACTGGCTCAGGGGTCAGCGTTCTTTGGCCTACTGAATCTACAGCCAGCCGCCTGCCTGCTGTCCGTCATCTAAACTGGTATAACTGCTGTTTCCTGTTCTATGATCTCCAGAGGTTTTTTTTTTATTATTATTATTTTTAGGTACCAATAATAATAACTTTATTTTCTAACAGGTAATTTTCCTACTGTTTCAGCATTTTCCTCTCAGGAAACACAAGTTTTAGAACTGGATCACTTGGCCCTTTCTCTTCTTGTCTCCTCCCAATTCAAAATGCTTGCATCTCTTAATGGCCAGCATCCTCTTGGACCTGCAGTTGGGCTCCACACACTCAAGCCTGAGCATGATCTTCTTTGTGGTTTTGGCCTTATTTCGGAAAACTGGCTTTGTCTGCCCGCCGTAACCGCTCTGCTTCCAATCGTAGCGCCGCTCCCCTTGGGCGTACAGGGAATCCTTGTGCTTCTTATACTGGGTCACTTTATGAAGCTGATGCTTGCCACATTTCTTACAGAAAGTCCTTCGGGTTTTGGGTATGTTGACCATCTTTGCAGTAGACTGTCTACCCGATGGAAACGAGAGACCTTTCGTCCGAGACAGATGCCTCCACTGCGCGAGCCGCATGGGAAAGGGTCTCCAGAGGTTTTAGATCTTTGCGAAAACATTTGTGTCTGCTGTGGCGACTTTGAAGGGAATGGAGCTACAGACTGTCACTTCTGCATCTTCAGAACTAGCAGTGGCTCAGCTTGTCTCTATGCTCAAGCTGCCGCACCAAGTGGCTCAAGCCCCTTTTGGTTTGAAGTAGAAACTCAACCTGTGCGTTTGGGTTCCTGTTACTCCGCTGTTCCCATCTGGCATACCCACCTGGCTCCACTCTGGTATATCACCCGAATCCCAACCCCCGCTCACGCCATCACTCCACACTCTGCCTCCCGGCCCTCCCAGCCTACTGAAAAGGCAAAGCCCTGCCTTCTTATCACACTGACAAGGCCCTCCCTGCTGTCCTGACGCCCCATCAGGACTTCTGCTCCCTCTTTCCCCATGCTAGACACTCACTGTACACACCTGTACCCACACACCTGCTGGCATCCCTGCAGAGTCACTGGCTCTCACTCCACTGCCAACTTCCTAGACACCCCACACTTTCAGCTGACCCTCTTTCTCGGAGAAGACAGGGTTCTCCAGGCAGCTGCACGAGCCTATCCCAGGAACAGTGGCTCTCTCCCCACCACACGGGACTACTTCCTTCATTTGTACAGGATGTGCTGTACCTGAGAAGCAGCAAAGATTCTGGATGGCAGGCAGAGTCTCGTTGCTCACTCCTATACCCACAGAGCCTCCCAGAAGCCTGGTGCAGAACAAGGGCCCAGGAGGAACCGATAATGAGCATGTGCAGAGTTTCTGGAACATCTTAGTAGACACCGCACCCACCCAGGGTGTGGGGAACAGAATGGTATTATATAGCAGTATTCAAGAAAGCTGGCTTTGCTCATCATACTTTTAGAGTGTAAAAGACAAGGTTCTTAAGCAAAAGCGACTTTTAAGAGTTATGTTTTGTTTTTCCTTTGTTTTGAAAGGGAAGATTGTTTTTGCTAATTAAAATCAAACTTAAACGTTCTTTCATAAGAGTGTAATTTCTCTTTAGTGTAGTAGCGTCCTGGGGTGATGGCTCAGAGTTCTAATGCCACCTTCACCCGTCTCCCTGCATGCTGCCATCCTCTCCACAGTGCTGTCTCCAGAGTCTGCAGCCCTATCTGGACGTCTCAAGATCTACTCAGAGAGCCAGGCAGTGGTGGCATATACCTTTAATCTCAGCACTCAGAAGGCAGAGGCAGGAGACTCTTGGTGAGTTCAAGGCCAGTCTGGTACAGAGTAAGTTCCAAGACAGCCATGACTGTTGTACAGAGAAACCCTGTCTTGGGGGAGGGGGATTTGCTCAAAGAAATTTGTGTATATTTTAAACCATTTTTAAGTACCAGCTTTGCCTAAACCACCATTGTGAATTTTATCTGGTAGATTTGCCTCTTTGGTGGAGCTAACCTGTGGAACAAAGTAAAAACTGTAACTATAAATGAAGTTAATTTTTCTTTCTACCAGCCATGTAATTCACTGCTGGGCTTTCAGGGTCTCATGGGATGGCTCCCCCTTACTTCACTGCAGATAAGGGCATCTCACTACTCACACTGCCTGTTCCTCCAGCTCCCCTCCAATGCGCTGGGACATGTTCTTCAGCACCCCGATGCTGCCGGAGACCAGCTCCAACTGCTCATCCTGCTGCTCCACAATCAACTGTGCCAGAGAAACGGAAATACGCAATTAAAACCCATCTTACCTGGTTCCAAGCCCAGCACTCCAGCAGCTGCTAGTTTCTTTGCCAGCTTGGGACAATTCACATTCAAAAGCAAAGCCCAGAATCAAAGAACCAGACCATTGGCTCTGAGAACACACTGCTCCAAAGACTGGATTGTCGAGCTACCCACACCGCCTGCTGATCCAACTTGTGAACAGTCAGCAGGGCTTGAAACCACCAAGAGAGATTTACTCTGCTTGGCTGAGGTCCAGTAAGGGAACAGACATGGTCGAAAGCACATGAGCATATGACCACCACATCGGGGATTGGTTAGGAAGAGGAAGCTCACTGCCAAGATCAAGGTTTCAGTGCGCACCACATTGCCACAGCATTAGCGAAGGAGAGCCTAGCAAACAGCTGACGTTGGAGGACTGCAGCAAGTCCTTTTCCTCTACTTCAAGGACAATAATTTGCCTCGGTGACAACTGTTGGCTGGCAAAGACATACTTTCAACTGTGCTGTGGTCCCCTTACTCTCTATTAAAATCTTTGCTTCATTATAACATTTTGAGAACAAACAACTAGTTAGGCCAACATGATAATGTAAAGAAAGCAAAACAACATAGGCTACAAATATACATAAAACACAGTATTTATGAACCCAAGTTTCAATGGACAGATGATTCTCATATCCTGATACATAATGTAATTGTTACCTTCCTTTTATTAGCATTGCTGTCCATAAAAGCAAGAACACAAGCTGGCATGGTGGGCCAGGCCTAACATCTCAACACACATGAAGCTGAGGCAGAACAACCAAGGCCAGCCTGGACTACACAGCATCATTCTGCCTCAATAAGACAATAACAATAAATACACACATATAAAATGTAATAACATGGAGACAAGTTCATTTTCCTTCTATATCTCAATCTCCATCAAAGCAGGTGGTTTTTATATATAATGGAACAAGCTGACAACTTTCAATAGAAAAAACAAGAACTCAATGTTTCTGAAAGTATCCTTGTTAAAATAAAAACCTGAATGTAAAAAGGGGAAGAGGGATTGCTTTCTTTTTTTAAAATCCTTGGCCTTATTTGGGGGTAGCATACATTTTTAAGCTCTGCACTGAGGGCAGAAGGAGGCACATCTCCACGATGAAAGCCAGCCTGCCAACCAAAGCTATGCAGTGAGAACTCATCTCAAAACAGCAACAAAAACAAAACCTGCACAGTTCGGGCCTCCTCAGTTTTGATGTCAGCTCTGCGTTTCCTGAGGTCAAGTCTAGTTCCTTGGGACACCATGCTCTCAAGATTTTAAACAGTGTATACAATCATTACACACTCGACAACCAAGCATAGGACATGCTCAGGTCTAACCTGCTTGTCATTTAGTAATAAGGCTGTGGCTAGCAGAAGAGTCAGGCGAGACACCCTGCCTGCTACCTCCTGTCCTCCACAGACTGTTCTCAGGTACCTGCTGCTGCGCCTGCTGCTCCTCAATGAAATGGGAGTTGGCTAGCTGCAGCTCTCGATCAAGGCGCCCGTATCGATCCGTCACTCCTGTGCTCCAGTTCTGGCTGCTGCTGTCTCCAAGTAGCGCCTGTGTGAGCAGGGACAACCAATCAGGAGAAACACTCAGAAGCTATTGCTGAACAACTTAAACGGTCCTCAAGCCTGGAGCAGACTTTGATGTGGCAGTGCAGGGTGGTACCTGGCGGAATGGTTAGAGCAACATCAGGAAGTGCTCACCCTGTCTTTAAGACCTCCAAATGGGCCTCGTGGATGGACTCTGTCCCTAAGGAGAGCAGCTAGGGGAAGATGAGAAGGAGCAGTGGCAAGCAGCTTAGTGTCTGCCAGAGGCCCATGAGGTAAAGGCCACCTTGACCACTCACGAGCTTCTTTGAAGGGTTAAAGTAGGGTAGATGGGACAAGCTGACCAATAGTTTTTCCTCTACTTCCCAAAAAGAACACAAGAGGGAGAGGTAGATAAGAACAATAAAACCACCAGGCAGGGGTGGTGCACGCCTTTAAGTCTAGCACTTGGGAGGCAGAGGCAGGTAGAGCTCTGTGAGTTTGAGACCAGTCTGATCTACAAAGCAAGTTCTAGGACAGTCAGAACTGTTACACAGAAAAACCTTGTCTCAAAAAACAACACAAACAAAAACAAAACAAAAAAAATGAAAACAAACAAAAAGTACAATATAAACAACCCAAGCAGACATGAAAAACAGACTTGAAGGGGTATTTTACCTCACCAAAAGAAACTCAGATCAGAACCTGAATTCGAGTTTAAGTTCTAGGTGATAGCTGTAAATTCTTTAAGGATCATATTTTATCAATTAGAAAGGAGTTTCTTCTCTATTTTTATTATTTCTAATTCTGTGTGAGTGTGTGTGTCCACATGTGGGATGTGCATGTGGATGAAGGCACTGGATCTCCAGGCAAGGGTTACAGGTAGCTGTGAGTCACCTAGTATGGGTGCTGAAAGCAGCATGTGAGGCTCAGGCCTCTGGAAGAACAGCGATCACAGAGCCATCTCTCCAGCCCCCAGGGGAGTTTCCTTCCTACAAAAGTGTGCCATTCAGTAAAATACTTGCAACAACCCGGCATGGCGGCTCGAGTCTGTAATCCCAGCACTCAGAAAGCTAGGGCAGGAAGATTGTTTTTAAGTTCTGGGACAACCTGGGTCAGCTATAGCTACATGCACAGAAAACCCTGTCCCAGAGCAAACAAAACACCCCCCCCCCCAATCAATAATCAACATTTTTAAATGAAGAGATTTAATTTGAAGCATGCTGCCAGGCACGGTAGCCCATGCCTTAAATCCCTGCACGTAGGAGACTGAAACAGGTGGATCTCTGTGAATTCAGGCTATGTAGAGAAACCCTGTCTCAAAAAAACAAAAATAATTTTGAAACATTTTAAGGATTACTCAGATGTCTACATCAATTCATTTATTTTTGAGACAAAATTTCACTATATATCCCAGACCGGTGCTAAGCTCACACTATGTGGACCTGACTGGCCTTGAACTTGTAGCTAAACTAGGGGCACAGCAACTTCCTGGCTACACCAAAATTGAAACATAACCATGCCATTATCAAGGAGCTTGGAGTCCCATAAAAAGACACTAAGTTATCAAGAGTCTTTAGCAGATGCTGGCTCACAGGAGGTAGGAAGAGCAGAAGATGCTGTGGGCCCATCAGCAGGAGCAAGTGAACTCGGGGGAGGGGCAGTGTTGAGGAAAGCTGTCTAGAAGGAAATATTTGTCTAAATGTCTGCTGAAGGCCAGGTGGGAAAGTCTTGGGCCCTGGCTTGTGGCACTCCTGTGAGGTAATGGGATCTTCTGAAGTGCAGCTAATAACCATAAAATCAGTGCATCAGAGGAGCTTCTTGTAGTAGATGGGAATTAGAACAGAGACCCACAACTGGACAACTTCGGCTGCGTCCATGACAACCCTCCCCTCAAGGCCAGGGAGCTACACAGCCCAGCTTGGTTTTGTCTTGTTTTAGAAAAAGAAAGAATATGAAATGGAATGGGTAAGGAGGGGAAAATCGGGGAAGAGTTAGGGGGTGGAAAACAATATGAACAAAATATAGTATAGGAAAGGAAAAATTTTTAAAGAAGTGGAATTAATGTATTTTGTGATCTCCTGTCATGATGCCTTGGCACATGCCCAAAAGCATGTGATCGGCTCCAAGTTTGTTACAGTGGCAAGTTACAAGAATAGGACTAACAAACAAGAGATGATCACACCTACCCCACCACCCAGGGACAGTGGACACAGGGCTTGATCTTGATCCCATGAGCCAGGGTGGTCAGCAATTTCAAATCTGAAGTATCTAAACACATATTTTCTTTAATGGACACTCATATTTGGGTGTTTTCTCACCTGTCTGTTTTTCCTTTCAGTCAATGCCTGCACGGATGAAGATGACATCTGATCCTTCATGTCCTATGAGAACAAAAGGGCAGAAAACAAAGGAAAAATACCCTTAAAGAAAAACATGGCTAGTATTTCCCATATTAGCAAAATACATACTTGATTGTCTACTCTTAAGCAAAAAGACAGCATTCTTTGGCTTTTGTTTTCAATTTCAAACATAAAGGAAATTGAAATCAAAAAGAGCTAATACAGACACTAAATTTAACTAGAAAGAAAAGTGAAATATCAGACAGAATCAGGGCTCTCCCGAACTTTCCTGGGGGTCGAATGAGTTGATGTGATTTCCGTTTTCAGGCTGAGGGGCCCTAGGTGCAGAAAGACTGACATCTTCTCAAAGTCATAGAGCCAATAAAGGACACGTGAAGGTAAAAACCTAAAGCCTGTGCTCAGGGACTAGCATCCTCTAAAACACATGTAAACCTGTTCTTCTTAAAATGCATTTACCATTACTAACAAGAAACGCTTGCACGTGACTCATGAATGAGCTGCATTCATTCACAGAATAGACTATTACTAACAGCTGAGTGAATTTCGAAAGTATTAACAGAAATCAGGGGATATGTTATTTAACCTTAAGCAAAACTTTATTAAATATGAACCATTTTAATTCTTACATTTAACTATAATGGAAAACACTAAAAAATGTCTAAAGTAGGGGCTGGAGAGATGGCTCAGAGGTTAAGAGCATTGCCTGCTCTTCCAAAGGTCCTGAGTTCAATTCCCGGCAACCACATGGTGGCTCACAACCATCTGTAGAGAGGTCTGGTGCCCTCTTCTGGCCTGCAAGCATACACACAGACAGAATATACATAATAAATAAATAAAATAAATATTTAAAAAAAATGTCTAAAGTAAGCATGTTGTAGTTGCAATACAATTTTCTCTTTCTTTAAAAAAATGTCAAGATACTTTGGAATTTTTTTTCTCTGATTTTTTTTTTCTGAAATTTTAAGTGGACTTATTCTAGCAAATATTATGGTATTCAACTTTTGTTGTTGTAAACAGGGTCTTACTCTGTAGCCCTGACTGATATGGAACTCACTACTTAAGACAAGACTAATTGTGAAATCAGAGATCTGCGTGCCTCTCTTTCCCTGTACTGGGATTAAAGGTATGTACCATTACACCCTGACAAGAGAGGACTGTATCAGGCATGCCATGGCTTTAAAATTCCTATTGTGGTTAATTCTAAAAAAAAAAAAAAAAAAAAAAAAAATCTTGCTTCAACACTCAAAGTCCACGATCATGCATGCAGCGAGCACTTACTGACACCTGATACGTCCAAGCATGCGGCAGGCGCCACGGTTAGTTCTCTGCTCCCTTGGAGCTCACATGGTGAAGTGCCCAACTCACCTAAGAGGTTACTGAAAATGCACTTCTCTCTGCCTCATCCTAACCTATGCCACTGGCTCTTTATGGCAAATCTTTATTAACAAGTCTCTCCGGGGAGTCTTAAGACTGGAACTTGACCGAGGAGGTGGTAGCACACGCCCTTAATCCCAGTACTTGGAGGCAGAGACAGCAGATCTCTGTGAGTTCGAGGCCAGCCTGGTCTACAAGAGCTAGTTCCAGGACAGGCTCCAAAGCTACAGAGAAACCCTGTCTTGAAAAAACAAAAACAAACAAAAAGAATATTTACTGCTAGCTGAAAGGTAGGGGTACACACCTTTAATCTTAACACTCAGTAGGCAGAAGCAGGTGGATCTCTAGGCCAGTCTGGTCTACAGAGGGAATTCTACAACAGCCAGGGCTACACAGAGAAACCCTGTCTTTAAAAGTTTCCTTCTTTCTCTCTGATGGGTTTGGAGACTGAACCCAAACATGCATGCTAGGCAAGTTCTACAATCAAATTCTTCATAGGAAAAACAATGACAGGATATCATATCCTTTCATCCCAAGAGTCTGTGTTCCAATACCAGAAACAGACAGAAAATGATTATTTTTTAAAAAATATTTACTTACTTATTTAATGTGTATGGGTGTATGTCTGTGCATTTGTGCATTATGTATGTGCCTGGTGCCTGTGGTAGCCAGAAGAAGGTGCCAGATCCCCTGGGACTGTACTTACAGACAATCCTCAGAGCTCCAGTCCCCTGGAAGGGCACCCAGTGCTCTAAACAACTGAGCCATTCCTCCAGCCCCAGAAAATGCTTATTTCTAGAGAGCAAATTACAAAATGAAGAGGCATTTTCACCTTTCAAACAGAATTAGTTACATTTAAAAAACAAAAAGCAGAGAGCAATTTTGTTGTTGTTGTTGTTTTGTTTTTGTTTTTAAGACAGGAACTCCTGTATGAAAAGTGAGTTCCTGTCCTGGAACCAGCTCTTGTAGACCAGGCTGGCCTCAAACTCACAGAGATCCGCCTGCCTCTGCCACCCGAGTGCTGGGATTAAAGGCTTGAGCCAATAGCACACCGATGAGAATATTTTTAAAACATAAACATGCACTTGAATAACAACAGGGTTCCAGCTATTCATCAAGAGGAAGCTAAAACACAGTGCTGGAGCAGGGACTATTTTGAGTTATATGGTTTTTTTCCTCCTCCTATAAAAAAAGCCACTCCAATTTTCTTTAATAAACATGCAGTAGGCAACAGTTGAATAAAATATGCTTTCTAATCTTAGATTTTTTTTTTAAATTTCTATTTGATAAAGAAAGAGAGTCCTGATGGGTACATCCCCTTACTGCTGTGCAGTGTGCATCCTATACATGCCCGCTGCTGTGGTGGAGTACAGCCTTCACATGTGGAGGGCATTTGATATAGGCAGGCTAGTCACCAGACACCATACAGAGGACCACCTTCACACTGGGACATGGAATTTTAGCTGTTACTAAACAGTTTTAAACATCCTGTAACAATCTATCATGACAAAACCATAATTACTCATCCTCTTTTTAACACATGAAGCTTAGGATCAGCAGTTAGTCCCAATAATACAAGACCCATCTGCCAAAAGAACAGCAAATGTCCTGGTTATTTACTCTCTTGTTTCCATTTCAGCTGTTTCCATGCTGAATGAATGAGACACCGTGGATCCCAGCACTCCCCACTCATGGGCCCCCTGTCCCAGTGTTATCTCAGCCTCTTAGACTAACCTTTAGAGTCACTTCTTTTTTTTAATTTATATATTTCTTTATTAATTAATTAAAGATTTCTGTCTCTTCCCCACCGCCGCCTCCCCTTTCCCTCCCCC